TGGTCCTCCCCAAGCTGGGGACTGCCCCAGGCCACCAGTTCCACCAGGGTTTCACCACAGCCACCAGAGAGGTGGCATATCCCCGCAGCAGCTCCATCTGCTCCGCCGGTGCATCCAGCACCAAAACCCAACCAGCCACCCCACCACGAACATCTGGCGGGGAAGTGGCAGCTGGATGTGGGTTTGTTTTGCCTCCCAGGCTCCTGCCAGGCACAGTCAGCACGAGCGGGGATGACTCAAAGCCCGGGAGATGCAGCCTCCGCCACTGCTTATTTTAAACCCTCCCGTCTGCAAAGCGGCTGCTGCGGCTCGGCACCTCTTGGGGTGCTTGGCAAAGCACCTCTCGGGGTGCTTGGCACTGCAAGGCACTACTGAGGCACGGCCCCACTGCCTGTGTGCTCAGCAGTCACTGAGCCCAACACTGGGGGCAAGAGCAAGAGGGGATCAGCTCCAAGAAACAGCCCAGGGTGCAGCAAGGACATTGCCGATGACCCAAACGAATTCGTCAGCTCCGGCATCATGATTCCCCTTGGATACAGGATAGCCAGGACACAGTAAATGCAAGGTGAAGCTGGATGCTCCCAGATCAGCATGTGCTGCTCTGTGTGCCACAGGAGTGAATGCATCCCTCTCTCAAAGCCCAGGACTTACTTAAACAGCATCTGCAGGGACTGAAACCACCCTGGGAAAAATTCAGTGATGGGCTGCAGGTATTTGGGGGTGGAAGAAAGGGATCCACACACAGATCACAATCTCATAACAATCTTTTCCTTAAGAAACCAGGCTCAAAATCTCAGCCAAGTCTCTCCTCTTGACCCCACACACAGATTTTTTCCTTCCAGATGCTCCTGCCCTTCCCACACTTTCTTGAACATTGGGCCATGCCACCTTTTCTGCACCAAAAAAACACTGAACCATGAAGCAAAGGTGTATCTGTGGCCAGCAAATGCCCAGGACCCCACACCTCCCCACTGCTGATAATGGGAGATAAATGCATGGGCAAATATTATGGCAGTGTGGTTTAATTCCTGATGGATTATGCAAATCTGTATTCAAATTGAAGTGAAGCCCTTGGGCTCTTGACAAATTGCCAAGCTGGCCCTGATGACACCAGGCAGGGATGGCCAGCCCTCCATCAGGTGAGGCTCTACATGGGTGCACTATAAATGTATGCACACACACATGTATGTGCAACTAGGGAGACCAAGGAGTACCTGCAAAAATGGTTCAAGAGTGACTTTTGCACTTCTGCCTCCTCCCAGCTGCATTTAGTGTGTCCAAGGAAGGCCACCAAGCTTTTGCGTCCTCCACAAGATGGAAGCAGCTTGGGATGATGGCGAGATTCAAAGCAGGACATAGATAAAATCCACCACGTCCAGAGGACAGGAGGTGAAAGCCTGAAACACTTGTGCCAATATGAATGCCAGCCCTGAAGCCGAGGAAAGGAAGATGTGTCCACAAAATAGTCACAGAGAGGGCTCATCTGATGAAAGTAGGAATTTCCGATCCCACACAAACCCCGAACATCCATTAAAAGTAGCAGAAGAATTACTGCTTTGTGCCACTAATCTCATTAGGGAGAAAGCCCTGCTGCAGCGCCGGGATTGCAGAGGGAAGCCCCGGCACACTCCGGGAGCCTGGCACGGCGCGCCCTGCCCATCCGAGCGGAGCCAGGCTCCACGGCAGCCGCCAAGGCGCCTGCACCTTCCTCACTCACGCACCCGCCGGGATCTCTCCTCGCTGGAGCCCTGCCTGCTTGGCTTGTGTGCGACACAGCGTGTGGGATGTCCCCACGCCCAGCAGAGCAGGACACAAACACCGGGATGACACACAGCGCCTGCCGATAACACGGGAGCTGACTCGTCCACAGCAGCACACAGCCCAATCCCTCCAAAACCCTTCCTCCCCAGCACAACGGCCACTGCCATTAATATTTTAAATATTTTTTTAATTAAAAGCAATTAAAAATGTGTTAAAAGCATATTCAAGTCACAGGGAATTCTGCTGAGAAGGGATGGGGGCATGAAGGGAATTAGGGGCAATATATCCAACTACCAAACGTAAAAAGAGCTCTTTACTGGCAGGGATGTGTCAAGATAAGATGGATGGAGGCAGAAGCAGGAGCAACCTTTGCAGAAGTTGCCGGGGATACAGCTCCAGAAAGACAGAGCTGAGTGGCTTAAAATTTCTGTTATTCCTCTAAAAAGACATAATCCCTCCTGAATATTGCTCCTTCCCTTGCTCCAAGCCCACCATGTTTGGCTTGCCTGCCTGCATCCAGCTCCCTCAAAATGGCTCTTTGGCCACTGCTACGCCGGCAATAAAATTTATTCCCAAGGTCACTTCAATCCTTTTGCCACTATTTCAATCTGGCTGGATTTAAACAAAACCCAGCCTCAGACACACTGAACCCCCCCTCTCAGCCCCTCCTTTCTGCCCATCACTTCCCTGATTTAGCGCTGCCAAACTCTCAACTACCTTTCGCTTCCCATAACCGTCAGCAGCAACAGCTGGAGAGGAAAACGGGAGCATATTGTGCACCCAGCAGCTGATCCTGGCGGCGTGGGGAGCGAGCCCAACTGTCACTGCTGCACCGGGGGCTCCTGCCACGCGTCCCCAGCCAGCACCCACCGCGGGGACCGAGCTAAAGGGGCTGGGTGGTCGCCGTCCCCCTGGTGTTGAAGAGCTGAAGAGAAGGGAACAATAAGCAAAGCAAATAAACAGCAGAGAGGGATGGTCAGTGGGTGAGTGGTGATGCCTGCAGACATCCAGCTGTGGCATCCCGGAGCAAAGCCAGCCTGATACGCGGGGATGGGAGGATATATGGGGAGAAGGAAACCGCCAAATCCTGGTGGGGAGGGTGAGGCAGCCATACCAGAGCAGTCCCCTCCCAAAGTTTGGTTTTCAAAGAGCATCCCCAGCTGGAAAAGCGAGCGAGAGGCTGTGCAGCTGGACGCAGCCCTGCTCCCTCGCCCCGGCTCCAACGGGCAGGGAGCTCAGAGCTTAGCTCCTCCATCCTGCCTGCATTTTCAGGTTGTTCAGGGCGCAGCGTGCTCTCCGTTTCAGCAGCGAGGCTGAACAAAGCCCTCCCTTGTCCTCGGCACCTCGAGCAGGCGATGCTGGATCGCGTTACCTAACCCAGACCAACATCTCCTCGTCCCGGCACGGCAGCTTTCGTGTCAGCACATGCCAGCCTGGCCCCAATTCCCTGCACCACCTCCTGCCTGGAGCTTTAACTGGACCAGTTTAGCGCACGGTGAAAACACACGGGGCCTTGTTTGGACTCGTCGGGCGCTAACCCCGGCTCGGGGAGGTGATCCGACACCCTCGCGCCCGTCGCAGCCGCGGCCGAACCGCAAGGCGCTCACCTGGACGGCTGCCATCATGACGTTAATTCCCATTAACAATGTTCATTTCCATATTCATCACAAGATGGTGAAATGACGAGATGGGGGGTTATTTACTATATAATTATAAACTAATTTCAGCTTTACTCTGGGTTATCCTAGGAAGGAGATCTAAAATTTCCCTTACGAAAGCCCGGCTCTGCTAACCGCGTCTGCAGCGAGATTAATTCCCAGCGATTTCCATTTCTCCAACAGCTGTTCTGCTGGGAAAGAACAGGAGCTTGTCCCCAACACCGGGGACCTGCCCAGTGCCCCATGCCACCCCCGGCTAGGATTTCTAGTGCCGGCTCTTCCTCCAGATCAGATTTTCTCTGGCACACCATCAGTCAGGGATGGGACCCGTGGTTTTCCAACCCTACCAAGGAGACTCTGTACCGGCAAAGGATCTGTACTCTGCAAGGCTTGCTCCAACTGGGAGAAAGGCTGCTAGAAACCACACCAATAAATGACACCTTTACCAGCCTTGTGTTACCAGAGGCAGGGACAGGCTCCTGCCCATTCACCTGGGAAGGTGTTGGAAATCCTCACACTGCAGAGGATCCCGCAGGACCTTGCTCTGAGCAAGTTTACATCACCACATTGGCCCTTGGGCTCTTGTCCACATTCCAAGCCCAACATCCCTACCAGCTACAACTGCTTGGGATGGCCACTTCGACGGAGCATGCAGCACACGCTGGACAGTCCTTGCCACTGCTCCTGAAGGATGGAAATGCAGCCCCACAGCCCACCAAAACCTTGGGAAAAATCACTGGGAAATCAGAGAAACACAGCAGCTCGGGGTGGGAGACTCCCAAAAATGCACAAATCCACCACCATTTCAGCCCAGCCACTGCTCCTGCCTTGGTCACAGCCTCCAAGTTGGCCGCCAGCCCGAGGGAGCTGCAGGGACATCACTCCATGGCCGGGCACTTCCTCCACCCCCGGGGATGCCGGCTGTGAAGAGCGGAGTGCGATGGGACCCAGCACAACATCACTGCCCAGCACCACCTCCCCGAGCCCCACCGGGACAGGCACACTCCCTGCCCTGCCTGAAAACACATCTCAAAAAGCATCTCGTTTAACCAGGGCCCCAAGGGAGGGGAGGCATCCTCGCAGGCAGGTCCCCGGGCTGGCCGCATTCCTCCGGGTGTTACACCGAGCCCCTGCCCCAAGGAGCCTCCTGCACCACCCCTTGGGCAGGCAGGGAGGGGGAACCACGATTTCAAGGGCCATTAAACACCGATGGTATTTCTCCTTGCAGCATCAAAACGGGACCAAAAAGAGCTGTGCCAAACCAGAGGCAAAATCCCACTGCGGGTCTGGGAGCCATCGTGCTCAGAGAAACACGGAGAAGCAGGGCAAGGATCACTCCAGTGCCCAATCCACGCTATCCCAGTCTCTCTATCAGCAAAGCAAGTTTAGCATGGATGCAGCATGATGAGTGAATTGTGCTTCCACTGGCATTGCCGACAGCAAGGCCTCCTGCAAAATCTGCGGGCTCAGCAGAAGCACCATTTTGCCATTATAAGGATGGCTACAGCGGGATTTTGCTGGCACAGCAGCGCTGTCCTGGGGGCTGGAAGGGTATTTTTATTTCTTTTCCTATTCTCTTACCTGGCCCAGCTGTCTGGAAAACTTCTCCCCGGGCACAGCAGGCTTGGAAGCAAGGACAGTCTCCAATCTGCCTTAAATCCCTGCATTTGAATGCACTTGCTAATGTGAAGTAGGAAAGCAGGGAAACCAAAATCTCTCCCCTCTGTCTGCCCGCTTTCCGTCCAGCCACCGCTTTGGAGCTGGATTCAGTCAGCCCTGCCCATAGTGGTGTGTCCCTTTTCCTGAGCCCTAAAAAGCGTTTCTGAAGCGAATCTTAATGGAAGAGGCTGAGCATCCTTTTATACAAACATGGATCTCTTCCTGCAGCCCCCTCACCCAAGAAAGGATACCTCAGCACAGAGCAAAAAGCACATTTTTATTAATTACTATGAATATTATTTTAAACTCTGAGAGGTTTTTTTGGCTATGAGTGATCCTTGCTCACACACAGCCCCACTGCCGCCCGGCAGGGACGCGGTCCCAGAGCAGCCCTTTGCAATCGCGTCCGAGGGAGCATTTTCCACCTTCCCCAAAACACAGAGCCTGCCAAGAACAACACGCTCCTCTGGGATGGAGCCGAGACCCGGACCCACAGACAGCAGCATAGGGAAGGAGCAAAACGATAAACCTCCATATTTTGAGCTGCTGCAGAGCAGAGCAAGCCCTTGTTTTAATGGACTCGGCTGCCTCATTCCATCAATTGCAGCCTTTTTTTTTAAGCCTTCCAGCAAGCTCCAGGCATGAAATTCCTTTGCAAACAGTCCCTTTCCTCTGCTATCCCTCCGCAAAGCCCTTCGGGGGAGCACCCCTGCCCTCCTCAGAGACGGGGAGATGGCGATGCCCAAGAGCACAGGGGGGACAGGGAACGGCATCCCCGGCTCAGCTCCCGCTTCGGCCTCCAGCCCACTCCTCCCTCCTTGCGCTTCCAACAAAGGGGCTTCTGTCCCTGTGTCCCCCCCGCCCGCAGGGAGCAGAAATCCCCACCATGGAGCAGGAATCCCCCCGAGAGGAGCCGAGGGTCCGGGGGTCGCTGGACACAGCCCAGGCGGCCGCGCTTCGGCGCTGGGGCAGAGCCCGGCTGCGGGAACGAGCAGAAGGTACGGGAAAAACAAGGAGTCGGTGCCGGCCATAACTGGATTCTCAAATATGGCCAATCGTGCTATTTTTACAGGGGCGTATTTATTTTCGGAGGACGCTGGGACGGATTCAAGAGTCTCTTTCTTCAGCTCGGCGGTATTTAAGGATCGGTTTGAACTGGCTCTATTTAAAGGCTTCGCCTCCTGCCCACTTTTCTTAACCCCTTGCACAAGCCTTTGCGTTCCACCCCTCCTAAAAACAAAACAAACCCCCAAAAAAACACAGCAACAACAACAACAAAAAAAAGCACCAAAACCACACACCAACAGCACCGCGAACGCAAACCTACAAAGGGCCCCTCGGTAGCAGGAAGCAATCATCATTTCAGGCGATATTGTTAAAGCCGTAAAAAAACAACAACAACAACAAAAATATCCCTGCCTATCCCGCTGCTGTGGTTTAATGGGAGTTTCAGCTGTTAATTGTACAGATCTTTTTAATGGAGTTTAGCCTGACTGGGGATTGCCGTGACAAAGCCCAGCTTTGCGAGGATCGTGCTGGGGAGCGGACGGGGAGACCGGGCACCGATGAGGTGCAGGGACAGGGGATTTCAGACAATTCCCAGAAAAAGAGAAATAAAAATAATTTTAAAAATAAAATAAGAACGCTGTAAGAAAGAATTGGAGGTGTCATACACCCCACTCCCTCTGTGAGGGGACCCAAATCTGAGGATTTCTCCCAGTGTGATAAAAAGCTCCCAGACCGCATCACGGAGCTTGGTCGGCTTGGAGAGACCAGAGCTCTGTGCCTCCCTCCTGACCTGCCTGGACTTCAGAATAGGAAACTTTGGGAGGAGAAGTAAAACTTAAAAAAAAAGAAAAGAAAAAAAATTACCCAATAAAAAATAAGAATCATTTAAAAAATACCAAGAATCCAATCTCGGTTTGGCTTGAGATTGTCCAGATGAATTTTTGCAAAGATCATATTCTGCTGCAGTAGGACGTGAAGGAGAGGGGGGGAAAATAACCAAGGGGAAAAAAAAAAAAAAAAGGAGGGAAAAAAAAGACAAAAGGTACGGAAAAAATAAGGTGTTTGCCCATGTGCTTGGCTTCATAGCCCCATTCGCTTTACACCTCTCCTCTTAGCACCTGGGAAATTGGCACTGCCACCTAGTCTAAAACTAATAAATCTTTTTCCCTCGATTCAGGCTGCTTCCTTCTCTGCAGATGTTGGCAATCAGGTTTGCAAATTTCAAAGTCATTCATCCCGGGCGGCTGGGAGAAAAGCAGGTTTATTATTGCAAAACCTGTCACCCTCCCAACGCCTAAAGTAAACTCCGAGTCACCTCTCCACGCCCAGGGGAAAGAAAGCGGAAAAAAAAAATTAAAATAGAGCCAGGGAGGGAAATCAAACGGTCAGAAATCCCTTGTGTCCTCCTACAGGACCGTGGGCAGGAGAGTGCGGCAGCGTCCTCCTCCCAGCAGTGCCGGACTCTGCGATCCGCTGGGAAAGGGAGCTCGGAAAAGGGGAAAAAAAATCAAAAGCCTCCAAAAAACAAAAGTAATTTAAACAAATAAATAAGAAACTGGCTGTGGGGGGAAAAAATAAACTGTGTATATTTCAGGGTCTACTCTTCTATTTTTTTTTTTTTTAATGGATATGCAGCCGTGGGGCTGCCCGAGGATGAAATGCGTCGAGAAGGGGGAAAAATTCAAGGAGGGAGCAGTCACTGTACATGGCACGGAAGCTTTGTTAGCGGGTTTAAAAAATAAGAATTGCGGAGAAGAAAAAACAAAAAAAGAAAGAAAATTTTAAAAAAAATCAAAACCAGCGGTGCCGGCAGGGCTGCCCGGAGGCAGCGGAACCTCAGTGGGGCTCGGGCTGCACCGGGCAAGAAATCACCAAAAAAGCACCATTTTACCCCTTTTTCCCAGCCCAGGGATGGTTTTTTGGCTGTCCGG